CCCCAAAACCCCAAAACCCCAAAACCCCAAAACCCCACTTAAATAATTTAGGTTGATATTAGATTAAAATAACAATGAGTTCATCTTCTAATGGTGACACTGGATCTAATAATGGCAATGCCAGAGTTTCGATCAGCAGTAAAGAAGAAGCTATTTCAATACCCACAGCTGTATTCTCAGCAGTAAGTGTGACAATTGGAGCAGGTATGGTATCTGTACCAAGAACCTCCTATGAATCAGGGATACCTTTTGGGGTGTTCTACAATCTGCTTAACCTGATCTTGACTATTTACTCTATTCACTTACTCCTCGAAAGCGCAAGAGTGACAGGCCTTTACTCAATGCCCAGACTAGCATATGAATGATTTGGCCATTTCTCCTTATACTTTGTTAACTTTGTGCAATTTATCGGTAAGTTTCCTATTTATCAAGAATATAGCTTTCGGAATCCTCCCTCTCGCGTATTTTATCATTTTTGCAGGCATACTCAGCTCTTTCTTCAACGAAATACCTGGGCTACCGAATAGCAAATGGAGATTTGTAGGCTCACAATGGTTTAGTGTCCTCATACTTGGTGCCATCCTATTCCCTCTGATAATCAAGAAAAGAATCGGAGAATTAAGTATTGCAGGAGCACTCCTTTTTGGAGGTGTGATCATCTTTAATATCCTACTTATCGTAGTAATAATTGATCCAAATGTTAATACAGACTACAAGAGTGAAGATCAATCCCGTTTCTACAGATTTGAGTTCAATCAAGCCTTCTTATCCTCCCTTTCAACAGCTTTTGTTGCTTATGGCTTTCAGACAGGATTTTTCCCGATCTATAATGCTTTGGAACACAAAAGTTATCGAAATGGGATGAAATTCAGTACATACGCTATGGGATTTTCTTTCCTAATCTACGTATTAATAATGTTCACTGGCCTTTACAACTTTGGAGTTAACATTCAAGGTGATATCCTTGCCAACGTGTCAATGCTTCGGTCTTGGGAGTCCTACGTAATCAGAGTGATCTTCCTATTAATCATGGTTACCCACACTCCATTCACATTTTTCCTCGGGAAAGAATCAGTCCTGTGCCTTGCTGTTCTGGTTTACACAGCCTTTAAGAAAGAAGAAAAAGATGATGACAAGTATACAAGAATGGTCGATGAAACTGAAGAGGCAGACTCTACACAAGAAAAGTGTCTCAAGGACGATATTAATAAATCAAGATCAGACATGAACGAGGAAGTAAGAAGTCGGAGTAGAAGTAAATCTGATAATGAGCTAGACGAAAAGCTCTTACAAGGAATGAATGAAGATGCCAAGAGATCACTAGCTATGTCCTTTGCGAGGAAATCTCACGGAGATTTACCGAGGAATGGGAATGAGAACGAACTTGATTTTGAAAATGCAGCAGCTCATGAACTTCTTCCTGACTCTATTTATTACCCGACCACACTTATTTTGTTTGCAATCGTGGTTGGTAGTGCATGTATTATTAAAGATGTTGAGATTGTAATTAAATTTGTAGGATCCTTAGGAAACGCCATTCTAAATTTCTTGATACCCGGTATCACATACTTTCTCATTATGAGAAAGTACGAACCAGAAAAGACTTCTAACCTAAAGCTGTACTCTGCACTATTCCTAGCAATCTACTCTGGAGTTTTAGCTCTAATTTGAACAGGAGTGAATGTTTGGACAACCATTGAACCTCTTGAAGATTAAGCTGCAAAGTTCAGAAGCAAATATTTGACCTATTTCTTGAAATAAAAGAGTTAGTAATAAATTTTGCTTAAATTCTAACGGTGATCCTATTACAAAAATCGACTGGTCTTATCTGAAAAATTTGTTAATCTCCATTTTTTATCCAAATTTCAGAATTGTTCTTTTCAAGAATGTGACAAACAGTTGGGGTTTTGGGGTTTTGGGGTTTTGGGGTTTTGGGG